TCACCCTACACATCATAGCTGGTACGTCACTCTAGCTTCCATCACCCTGCACATCATAGTTGGTATGTCATTCTAGCCTTCATCACCCTACACATTATAGCAGGTGTGTCTCTGTAGCCTCCAACACCCTACACCACATAGCTGGTACGTCATTCTAGCCTCCTCACCCTACACCACGAAGCTGGTACGTCACTCTAGTTTCCATCACCGTACACATCATAGCTGGTACGTCACTCTAGCCTCCATCACCTTACACATCATAGCTGGTATGTCACTCTAGCCTCCATCACCCTACACATCATACCTGGTATGTCAATCTAGCCTCCATCACCCTACACATCATAGCTGATTTGTAACTCTAGCCTCCATCACCCTACACATCATAGCTGATATATCACTCTAGCCTCCATCGCCTTACACATCATAGCTTGTACGTCACTCTAGCCTCCATTTCCCTACACATCATAGTTGGTACGTCACTCTAGCCTCCATCACCCTACACATCATAGCTTGTACGTCACTCTAGCCTCCATTTCCCTATTCATCATAGCTTGTACGTCACTCTAGCCTCCATCACCCTACACATCATAGCTGGCACGTCGCTCTAGCCTCCCACGCCCTACTCCACATAGCTGGTACGTCACTCTAGCCTCTATCACCCTACACATCATAGCTGGCTCGTCACTCTAGCCTCCATCACCCTGCACATCATAGCTGTCACGTCACTCTAGCCTCCAACACCCTACTCCACATAGCTGGTACGTCAATCTAGCCTCCAACACCCTACACTATATAGCTGGTGCGTCACTCTAGCCTCCATCACCCTACAGATCATAGCTGGTACGTCACTCTAGCCTCCATCACCCTACACCACATAGCTGGTACGTTACTCTAGCCTCCATCACCCTACACATCACAGCTGGTCTCGGCTATGACCACCTTTCCTTAACTATAGTCGTAATCTGATTCTCTAGCATGATGACATTAGTCAGACTTAATTAAGCACAATATATAAAAATTCTTTTTACATAAATCACTACTAATGGCTGTATTATAGGAAATGGTGTTCTCTGAGGTGTTCTGTTGCAATATATGTTGAATTTATGTGTGTTATATAGTGGATTATGTTGTCATGATATGTGTTCTGTAGTTGTGTATGTTGTCTTGAGTATGCTATTTTATATATGTTCTGTAGATGTGTATGTTGTGGCTATATATGTATGTACCGTAGTGGTTATAGTTATGTTTGCTGAAGAGATGTTTGTTTTTGTGACATATGTACTTTTACAGTATTTAATGCGTATTTTTATATGCGTATTTTTGTCCATGTTTTGCTAATGTGTTTATAGTTGTTAGTGTTATGCTGATGTGTGTGGTGGGATGGTCTACATTATGTGTTTATATGGGAGCAGTAGTGGTGGTGTTTATTGTGGAGAGCAATATATTACGTTGGTCTATGTCGTGCTGATATGTGAGCTTTGCTGGTGAATGTTTTGTTGTAATATGTGGTGTAGTAAACAGCAGTTGCAAATTCTGTACACACCTATATGTGATTGCAGGAGTTGATTCGCAGTTCCTGGTAATTTATCCTGAGGTGATATGTGCACTATGTTGCAGTCATGCCTGTTTAGTGAAGAATCATGTAAATTAGTGAATAGTGTACTTATGTTTTGCAGAAGTGCGTCGTTTGTAGTGAGATATTATGTAATATAGTGTTGTGTGTTGGGGTTTGTGTCTTAATGGTTTGGTATAGAGATGTGTTGTGTATTGAGAACTTTGTTATAATGGTGTTTAGTTTACGAAGAACTGTGTTGTAACGGTGTGTTTTGAGTTGCTAGCTGTGTTTTAATTGCTTGTTGTGTGTTGTTCTCGTTTTGTCATGGTGTGTTGTGTGTGGAAGACTGTCTTGTTATGATACGTTGTGTGTGTAGGATTGTGTTGTCAATGTGTGTTGTGTGTGAAGGACTGTGTAGTCATATTGTGTTGCGCGCAGAGGACCGTTATCATGTGTTGTGTGTGGGGGACTGTGTTGTCATGTTGTGTTGTGTGTGGGGGACTGTGTTGTCATGTTGTGTTGTGTGTAGAGGACTGTGTTGTCATGTGTTGTGTGTGGAGGACTGTGTTGATGTGGCTTATTTGTGTGGGGACTTTATTCTATTAATCTGTATTTAATAGGACGTTATCCATTGAGGCTTAGATGGTTTTAGTGTACAGGGCGTCTTTGACACCCTGCATTCAACTCTGTATCATTTATCTTGCTATTTCCGGCTCTTTCTAAGCTTCCATCTCTAACTTAAGCCATCTTGATCTTAACTATTAAACAATTCTAAAAGTTTCTTCTAATCCTATATTGTAAATGTTTATTATTGTGTCATAATCCTCAATACCGTTCGCCACACTGTGCATCCTTACATATCTCCTTCATCTCATCAGCTCTCACAAAACAGAAAACTTCCACGTCCGTATTCTCTCTGACGAAGATCATTATCGTCATTACACT